GGCCGTGTCGTCAACAATGAGGCAGTTCAACCCGCTGGCGTTCCCAACCAAGTACATGCGGTCGATTTCGTTCGCCTTGATGGGTTGCTTGATAATCGTGGCAAGACCAACGTTCTCAATGCCTTCCTTTCCCACGAGCCACTCGCGTGTACTTCTTGGCGCGAGCGACACCACGATAAATGGCAATGACGCGTTCACACTGCTGGTCGTACGGAGCACATGCATTACATTGAGCGTCAGATAACTCGATGAATCGTCCACGACTAGGCGCTTGAGAGTCAAAGTTGGACACTCGAGTTCATTCGCTGCTCCAACGCATGTCGGCACTCTACTTGGGGACGCATTAGGGACTCGAGGTGGATCCATTCGCAACGAAGGGGGGACATGAGATACGACGAGTCCATGTATATCTCGTTTTACAAACAATGTATCTGCCCAGAGTAAGAAGTTGAGCGACCCCTCATCGTATGTTGCAACCAGTGCGTCAAATGTTAAATCGAATTTTATGATGCTGTTGCCTACGAGAAGAACAAGAGAGCCAGTTCTGCCTACAAAGTAGAATTATCTCGTGGCCAGCCCGACGTCAGCCGTCCTGGGGATGGTGCACAAGGCACCGCTTGCTCGTTCCGTGCTTGGCCCGAAGGTGAGACAGACACATGTAATGCGTCAGTCACCCTCCAGTGTGTATGCTAACTGGAAGTAGACGTTGTATACGCCGCACACGACATATAGAAGGGCGATATACAGATGCAACGCAGCATGGAGATGCACGGCGAACATGCCTATGAATGACAGTAAGCAAACGTGTTGTCATGAGCAAAAGTAGTCGAGCTACCTGTTGGCACTTGAAAGATGAGGCACAGTCCATGGAGCAAAACGCTGTCGACCGCCGCGGAAGTGATGGACCACGGCGTGATAAATGCACACGCAAAAAAGACGACGCCCCAAGAACAAACGATAGCCACACATGTACCAGTGCGTAGTCTACAGGGAGGAGCGCTTGGTGATGCACCCAAGATGGGGAGAATTGTTAAGGCTTACACGTACCTGACTGCGTGCCTTCTGAGAGGTCCATGAGCAAACGACTGAATATCACGATGTGCACGATGGCGACGCCGATCAAGATGCCTGAATCTGCCTCCGCTCTACATGCTACATGGTTAAGCAGTGGAGACATGGTCGAGTGAATACCTGGAGTGCCGCTTGACACTGCTTGGTAGGCGACAAGGTGCAAGTGTGATGATTGCCCCGACCATGACGAGGGCTTCCATGACGCCAATCGCGAGGTACAGCGACTGCGGCAATGGAGATCCTTCACGCCAAGGTAATTGATCCAGCATCGTTTACATCCACACGATAGGAACACCCAAGAGGCATGCCTCGGCCACGGAGCGTCGCCACATTTGTGTTGCCGAGGTGTTCACGAAACAAAAGAATGCCGTCGACGACGACGAGAACAAGGGGGACAACCGTCGCCGCATCATTCACAACGCAGTCGTGGACTCGCTGGTGTCGATGTTGGAGCCTGAAACTCCTTCGTACAAGATGAAGAAGGGACAATCGAACGTTGTCATGTTTGTCGGGTTGCAGGGGAGCGGGAAGACAACGACGATCGCCAAGTACGCGCATTATTACCAGCGCAAGGGGCGGGGACGTACATGGTGTGCGCCGATATGTTTCGCGCCGGTGCGTTGGATCAGCTCAAGCAAAACGTGACCAAGCTGCGCGTGCCGTTTTACGGGAGCTACACGGAAGCCGATCCTGTCCGTATTGCGCAAGAAGGTGTCGCGAAATTCCGCACGCGCACACAAAAGAACTTCTGTAGATTGATGAGACACTACTCTAAAGAATGGAGTATAGTTTACTTCCATTCAGGCAGGGATTACCTAGACTGTACGCCGATCTCCTACTGAGCAAATCAGAAAGCTTCAGCTTGAAATCAGAATCATACAGCTCGCGCAACGTAACCAGATTGCTTCGCTCCAGTCCGTCTGCGAGGACGACCTTTGCAAACGATGCGGGCGCGCTAGACAACTACTACCATTTTTGAATTTGCTTTCGACTTCCTGGACCACCATGAAGTTGTTTGCCGCCGTCCTTGTCGCGTCCGCTGCCGCCTCCAAGCAGTCGGTGACCACACTCTCGACTGACGAAAGCCCCGAGTTGGCCAAGTGGCGTGAGCAGTTTGGAGCCCCGGCCGCTGGGCAGGGTCTGTTTCCACGCGCCACCGAGAGCCGGACGGCGCTGCCGGCGCGGTTGCGTCCGCCGATGCAAGCGGACCAGGCGCAGCTGCGTCGGTCCTACGACGACGCGACGCCGATGGACGCGCACCCGCGCCCGTCGATGGCGGGGGTGGACGGTGTGATGGCGGGGTGCAGCACCTCGACGTTCGCCAGTGCTCAGGGTTCGGCGCTGGTCGCGGCGGTGAAGGCGGCGACCACTGAATGCATCAACAGCCTGTTCAGTGTCTCTGGCGCGGACGCGTACTCGATTTTCCGGGAGGAGCAGATGGTGTCCGTGGCCAACGCGCTGCGCTCGGCCGCTGCCACCTACCAGGGTAACAACAGCGGCA